ACTTGAATTAGAGATAAGAGTCTCACAGATTTACCTGTCCAACCTGGCTTTGAACTGCAGTCTTCAGATCTCACATGCTCATGTGTACACACATGCATGTGCACGTGCACGCACAAGCACGCACGCACACACACACACACACACACACACACACACACATATACACAAAGATGATATAACACCAAGGGCTGATGATTTAGCTCAGTGGTGGAGTGCTTACCTATTACCTAGCATGTGCAAGCCCCTGAATTTGATCCCCATCACAATAAAACAATAATAAAAAAAACCCAAAAGGACATTTTATAGCCAGCAACTCTAAGAACAGACTGTACATCGACCCTCCATGCTTCCCTGCTTGTTCTGAATTCTAAGGAAAAAGAGTTAGTATATTTTAGACCGCCAAGCAAATTGCACTGGCCCACGGTGTGACTCCATTAGGATAAAAAATAATGCTGAGGGATTGCTATGGAAGAACTGATTCCCTGCCCAGCCTCGGGGTCAAGCACAGACCCAGGAAGCCACCTGCATTGTTTTATAGTCCTCTTCTCAGGGAAATGGAGCTGCAGCCTGCCACCTTGGAAATTCTGCTTGCTGGCCAAGTACGTGAGATGGATGCCCAACATACTTTGGGAAGGTTATTTCAACTTTCTGCTACATCAGGCTTCTGAGAGTGGTGAACATCAAAAAAAAAAACCCAAAAACTAAAATACACACACACACTCCACACCACACTACACCACACCACACATATTCTTTGTCCTTACAAAGCTGGAGAGTCTCACAGACAGCAAGAGGCAATCGTGGATTTTGTCTGACCACTCGGGAGCTGGTGTTTCTGGGCATCCCTGAAATATCAGTTTGATAACCACCCTTGCTGCAGCCTGCACCCCCCTCCTACCTGAAGGAAGTAGCTCCCAGAGTGGGGCTTACACAGTTCTACACTCCAAACAGACCCTTGTCCTCTCTCCCTTTTGCCCCCCAGGCAAGGCCCAGGGCTAGTGTCTAATCAGCTTGAGGTGTTAGGAAGCGAGACCTGTCTAAGTCCTTGTAGGATGTCACTTGAATATGTTAGCTAAATAGCCTCAGGCCTTCAAATAGTCACACTAGTTAGATGTGATTATGTAGAGGGGTATGTGTGTGTGTGGGGGGGGTAGGGCCCTCTTTCCCATGCAATCATGTCAAGAAAGGCTTCTTTAAAATGTAAAGGGCTAAACACAGATGTGGCCACAGTTTTTTATTTCTTCTTTGCTTTAAGAGTGTTGACTGGGTGTGCTGAAGTTGTGGAATCGGGTGACATTTCTCTTCCTTCCTTTGGGAGGGTGGAGTGGCACGGAGGCTCCTGGGCAGATGTGTTTCCAGCTGTCCTGACCTCTGGGCCTGCTCACTCACCTGTGATTGAACGTGAGGTCACCTGGAGGTGAGAAGTGCTGTCTTACTCAGAACTCACTTTCTCTTCAGAGTCAGAATTTCCCCTGGCCAGTGTCTCAGGCAGACCAGGGTCAGTTTCTCCCTGAGGATGTTTGGGAACCATGGCCTGCGTGGAGGAGCATTAGGACAAGTCTCTCTCCTCCAAAGCCCCTGACAGGATGGCAGTGACTCTGGTTCTTGGTCCACACATCTTTGCATAGCCAAGGACATCTATGGACAGCTCTTTAGGACAAATGTGTGTAGACACAGAATATTGAATCCAGGTACAAAATCTGGGATCCTTGGTTGAGAGTTTGTACTCTAAGGCTAGCTCTCAAAAGAGAATTCAGTATTCAAACAGTACTGAGAAAAATGGAGCCACTCACTAAAGGTTATTATTCTTGTTTTTATACCTTTTGTTTTTTTTCATATGATTTATTAGTATCTCATTTTATAGGTGAGGAAACTGAGGCACGGGGTCATTAACAGACTCTAAGTGGTGACTGCCTTTGAATTCAACAGTTCCAACTTCCAAGCCAGTGAGCTTAAATTCTGATTGCTTAATAAAGATGATTTTTCCTGAATTTGGAGCTCTTCCTAATCCCAAAATATCTGGCTGTTTTCCATACCACTCCCATATTGCTTATAATTAACTGAGTGGTGTTCTGTGCTAGGAATATTACATGCTCTGACTCATTGGAAAATGTGCTCAGAGAGAAAATAACATACAGCATTCACATAACATACACATTGAGTCCTAAATAAATGTAGGAAAAAAAATTAGGGAGGTAAATATAGCGTGACGATCAAGCACTTTCAAAATTTCTTTTCCTATGTGGAAAGAAACTGAAGATTACCTAGTTCCAATGTCACTTTCCTAGGCACCAGCAAAGAATGAAGAATAATAAACCCAGTAATTTGCAAGAGTTAATTGATCTGAGAGTCTTAAGAAGTCAATCAGTGACTTATGTACCCATTTCCAGCTCTTGGTGTCTACAAAGTATGAGAGAACTCACCATGCACTGGCACAGATCCATGAGAGTGAGGCTCTGTCGTCAGAGCAACTGCTTCATGTTGTGTTGCTCAAGCACTTTGCACGCATTATTTCCTGTACTTCACAACAGTGTTAGACTTTTGTCAGATACCATTTTTGAGTAGGAAACTTTTAGTAGAGATATATACTCCCCCCCCTAACCCCCCCCCCCCCCCCACTTGTCTAAAACTGCTTAGTAATGCCAGGAGAAGGTGTAGAAGGAAGGAAGAGGAGGAAGATGGGAGAGGGAAAGGGAAGAGGAAGAAAAGAAGGAGGAGGTGGTAGTAAAGGCATTCTAGTGGCATCAGGAAAGAACTTGTGCCTTCCTGATCATCACAGGCCTTTCTGGATGGCATCATTTAACAGGCTGGCCCAACCAGGATCACACACAGTGGGTGGATCCTAAATCCCAGTGGTGGATCACACGCTCTGCTGACTGAAACCAACACATGAAAAGGGCCAGGCTCTTATTGTATGTGGGACCCAGAGTGGCTCCCTTGTTCATCTCCACCTGCTGGCACCAGTGGCCCTTTTCCAGGGGGAGGCTCTACCACAGCTCCACCCCTAGTCACCAGCTTCTCCACTCACCATAGAAGGAGAAGCAACTTTGGCAGGGCATATCCAAGTCAGCCCCTGTGACTTTTTCTCAGGTTGGTCTTGCTCAGTGTAATACCAGGCAACTTGACCCTGGCATGCAGCCTTTACTAGACAGCTCCATGTTTGCCCTTGAAGATTTAATATGTTGTCCACAGAAGTGTCCTCAAACAGTTTCAAGAAGGAATGATTTCCATGCCACTTTCAAGTTGTACAGTCACTTCTGTAGTACCCTTGGAATGTTATGTTCCCCCTTTTCTTCCTACTCCTCCCCCCTCCCCTCCCCCCTCCCCTCCCCCCTCCTCCGCTTCCTTCTTTTCCAGGTGGTACTGGGGTGTGAACTCAGGATCTCACACTTGCGAGGCAGCTAGGCAGATACTCTACACTTGAGCCACATCCCTAGGCCAGCATGGATATGAGTCTATAAATGAAATCAAATATGTGTGCCTGGCAGTATTGCATATCAATGTGTGTGTGTGTGTGTGTGTGTGGTCATTTGTTTGTTGAGTGAAACCCTTAAAAAATATACCACTCTGGCCGGTGCCACTGGTGGCTCATGCCTGTAATCCTAGCTACTCAGGAGGCTGAGATCTGAGGATCTGTGGTTCAAAGCCAGGGAAAAGCCTCACAAGGAAGTCTGTGAGACTCTTATCTCCAATAAACCACTCAGAAAACTGGAGGTGGTGCTGTGGCTCAAGTGGTAGAGTGCTCGCCTTGAGCTGAAGAGCTGAGGGACAGCTCCCAGTCCCAGAGTTCAAGCCCCATGACCATATATATATATGTATGTATATATATATACATATATATGTATATGTATGTATATATATATACATATATATGTATATAAATGTATATATCATTGTGTTTTGAAGCTGCTGGTGGCCTCAGTAAATGCCAGGGTAGGGGCTTGTGTCACACTTGTCCTTGAAAGGACCATGGCTGGAGCAAACTCCTGCCCTTTCTTTGCAGAAGTCCTACTTTCCTCAGCAGCAGGTCAGAGCATTCACCCTCTGCTGTGTTTAGTGGTGCAAGCCTGGGCTCCAGGCTCAGCTCTGCCACCAGCTCTGGGATCCTAGACCAGTTGCCCAAATCCTGGACTGCTTTCCTACCAGGGCAAGTCTAGCAGGACACCATTCGGTTTCAGTTTCCACGTCTGTGAAAATTCCACATTGAAGATGTGTTTGTCCACTTATAAAGGTGGAGGTGGGGAGGGGGAGGCGTGTAGACCACCCACGAGCCAGCTGCTAGCCTGGCAGTGTTGGGGACGGAAGTAGCGCAGACTGGAAGGGTGCCTGCAAGCCAGGCAACCTGACTTAGGCTTTCATTTGATCAGATAGGAACGATGCTGGAGCAAGTCTGGGCTGCGGGGGCGGGGGGGGGGGAGGAAGGGGGGGCAGTACGAGTACCAAGCTGAACTCACAGGTAGTAAATGAACCCCTGCTCTGCCCTGGGTTTGTTTAAGGCAAGTTTCCTGTCTGTCCTGGCTGGGGTTTACATCACAGGAGAGGGGAGAACATCACTCACTGAGATGATTGCTTTATTTGTAGTTTAAAAGGAGTGTGTGTGTGTGTGTGTGTGTGTGTGTGAGTTGAGGTGTGGATAGGATGGAGTGATCCGAACAGGGCTGAGTTGTTCCAGCTTCTCCTTTTCACTCCCGATCTCCATCCCACCCGCAACTCCAGGGCTGGGACTCGCGCCCTTCGTGCTCGGAGGGCGCCAGCCTTCGCCCTGGCCTCCCCCACCCCCGATCTTTCCTCTTCTCCCCTCCCCGCCCAACCCCAACCCTGCGGAGAATCTTCGTGCTTTTTTTCCACGCGGAACGGGGAGCCCGGGCGGCCCCAGCGGGCGGGGCTCACCTGTCCCGGCCCGGCCCCCTCCCGCGCGCGCCCCAGGTGGCTCGGGGCGGGGAGGAGCCGCGCCCCGCCCCGCGCGGCCGCTACCAACGCCAGCTCCCCACCGGCGGGGCGGGCGCGCCGGAGCCCGAGCCTGGGGCTGGCGCGAGGGCGCGGGGAGGTCCGGCCGGCGCGGACCGCGCAGGTGAGCCGGGCTGGGGCTGGAGGGGCGCGCGGGGGCTGCGGCGCGGCGCGGCTGCGGCGGGCGAGGCGCTGCGCCCCGCCCCGCCCCGCGCCCGCCCCGGGAGCCGGGAGCCTGCGGCGGGGTGGCGGTCCCGAAGCCGGGGCCGGACTGGCCACTGCCAACAGCGACACTGGCGCTGGGGAGCGAGGCGGGGAGGAGTTGTGCGGGTCTCCGAGCACCCCGGGCGCCGCGGGCCAGTGCTGGTGCGGGAGGGGAGAGGCTGGGAAGGGGCGGAGGAGGGGGTGGCAAACTACTGCGGAGGGTGCGGGGTTGTGCGGGGTTCAAAGCCGACGGTGGAGCCGGGAGCCAGCGGGCTCTGCCTTCTTCCCCCCCCCCCACCCCCCCCGCGGTGCTTCGTGCGCGGGTGCCTCTGCCCCTGCCTGGCCCTTCACTTTTGGTGTTAAATAACAACCAAACCAACACGTTAGTTCGTTACCAGGGCCTCTGAAAAGCTGGGGCTGCCCGGCCGCTTCCGTTCCACGGGGCTTTGGTTGAATAGGGAGGCTGCGGGTCTGTGTGCCCTGGAGCATGGTTAGGGACCCGAGTGACAAAGTGGCAGAAGTGTAGTGTGATGTGATATTTGAATTGCAACGACTAGCTCTGTGACCTTGAGTAAGTGACTTAACTTTGCTGAGCCTCAGTTTTCTTAAAGGTATCATCATGGTTATACCATACGTTGTACACTGCTTGATGAAATTCTCCATGGTCCCCCCCACCACCCCATGTGCTAACTAAGATTTCCAGAGGTCTCCAAAGGCCTGCACGTTCCTGAACAGAAGGGAGATCAGGAGGCTTATGGTAGCAGCCTTGAGGAGGTGTATGAATTGGGGGTGAGTCTCTCTCTGTACCACCCTGGACTGCTCAGGGTGGGCATTGCTCCAGGGCACCAAAATCGAGAGGTGCCAGTGCTCAGGTCTGGCACACACAAAAAAGGGGGTGTTATTAAGCTATTCTCCCTATGAACAACTCTGTCAGAATTCTTCTCGTTGGATTGGACTTTGCTCACTTGAAAATTGCCTTATGCAGTGTAGGCATTCACTGAAAAAAGAAGTGGAAGTTTTAGGTTTAGTTTTAGCTAAAGCTAGGAGCTCACATGAAGTTCCAGCGTTAGTTCTTGCCCATAAGCATCTAAACTCTTTTATTCTCTTGTATAAACTGGCTCATAGCATGGAATAATAAATAAGGCTGGCACCTCATCTTCAGGCATTGATAGATAGATAACTTGCCCTCATTTCCATTTCCTTCATCCTTAAAGTAAGTCTTATTGAAACACTGAATCAAAGCAGGGCCAAGCTGTCTCAGCAGACTGGAGGTGGGCTTTTACAGTAGGGACGGACTTATTACACAGGTCTATCTGTGCTTGGGATGATCAGCTCAGCCATTGTTATACACAGTTCCATCCCAACTACAGGAATTGTGAGTGAGGAGAAAACCTCCCAGAGAGTGCTCTGAGTTCTGGGAAAGCGATCACTACTTAATCTCTGCCCTTGTTCCCAAACACCTAAAGAAAGTTCAGATAGACTAGATACTAGATAGAGAATAAATGGCCTGTGCCATCATTTCTTAGTCAAGGCTTCATCCAAGGCATGGGAAGAACCCTGTGTGTCCACTTTTCATTCATTGTTTTGTTTTTTCATTCACTTCTTCAACACAGCACATACCAGGGCCTTTCATGATGGGGAGAGTGCTTGCTTTCTTTGAGAAGCTCACAGTCTAATTGTAGGAATACACATGGAGATAATGTGGTCTGGCTGTCCTGGGACTCTGTGAAGACCTCCCAACAGAACCATGGTTGCAATCAAAACTGGAGATGAGTAGGTTGTAAGGGAGAAATGGCCAAAAAACTTCCCACACCATGCAGTCAGGTTTCAGCTCCAGTGCTTTCTGATGCAATGTAATATCAAGCAGGGTATGTTACTGTCTCCCTTAAGGTGTTTGGGGTGTGTGTGTGGCTCAAAGCAATCTGCTCTTGGTTGGAAGGAGTTTTTAGAAGTTGCTTTTCCCTACCTTCTATGGGTTGATCAGAGCTCCATCTTGCCTTCACATCCAACATAGCATGAAGGACAGGACTAACTTTTCAGTCTTCCTTTAGATGAGAAAAGTAAATTTCTCCAGAAGTCTCCTGTGCCACTGAGGGTCCACTGGCCTGAATGGTCATAACTTCACTCCTACATCAGTGATAGGGAGAGGGGAAGAGGGGGTATCATCTTTTGTCCAGGCAGACTTATGCAATTGGGAGACAGCCTTACTTTCCCTGAGGTTCCATATCTCAACACAACCAGAATTCAAGGAAGAAAGTGAGATAGCTTGGAGGACTCATAGGTGGGCAGTGACTTGTGTCTCCTACAGGCAATGGCAAGTGATTCATCAAGGCCTGGCATAAAGGGAAATTGGGGATATTCAGTACAAGAGGAAAAGTCTAGGGTGTAGCTGAGGGAGGGAGTAAAGGAGCTAAGGTTGGAATAGCCAGAACAGATGGGTGCATGCTATGCTGGATTCCATGGTAGGTGTCACTGAGAAGAGTAAATCCTGATCTTGTTCCTCAAAGGCCTTAAAAGGTCTGAGTTTTAAGGATTTCTGAGATTTCTTACTCTTCTTAGTAATCCTGACAGTGACTCACTCTAAGGCTCTGAGAGTGGGGGATGGTTGTTCTAGGAGGGGCCATGTGCTCTTGAAAAAAAAAGCTTACAGGTAGTTCTGCTAGGCCCTCTGTTCCCCACCCTTCCCCTGGGCCTCCCCAACCCTCCTTCTGAGAAGTCCTGCTTGCTTAAAATCATGGCTTTGTTTCAGCATTGTTAGCTGTCTTCACACCAACAGGCTAGGACTTGGTGAAGTTGTAGCTAGTGGTAGATCCTGGACTAGAAAGCAGTTTTCCTGACACCCAGTAACTCAGTGTCAGGAAAAACTATGTACTATTTTAAAGTCATTTATTTTACCTGTTTTCGTTGAAAGCATGAGGTGTGTATAGCTCTTTGCTTCCATTTGGTATGGTGGTCATGAGTAGACATTTGGTATTTCATTGAGCAGCAATGTCTCATGATGCTGTATCCTCAAATATCTAGTTAGCACAGAAATTGGAACTAGACCAGGTCACTAATCCTGGAGGAGGAGGCAGGAGGAAGGCAATACATTTTTTTTTTCAGTTTTCATCAGTGTGACTGCTATTAGTTGGCCAAGATCCATGGAAGAATGTGTAGGAATGAGGTTAGAGACCTGTCTGGGGAGACCATTTACTCCATAAATATGTACTGAGCACCTACTGTGTGCTGCATATTGTTTTAGAGGCTAGAGATACAAGAGTACTCAATAACGACAGAATTCTCCCCTCATGGATCTTACAGTCTCCTAGAAGGAGATATAATAATTGTGTTTTGTCTAATACTACAGGAGCTGAGTACTACAATGAAAATTAGTCTGGATTGAAAGAAGGGTTCAGTCGTTAGAAACAAGCCAGTCATAATGCTGTAAATCTCTCTTGATTTTAGTGGGAAATATATCATGAGCAGCTATGGATTGGGGGAAAAATGGACAGATATTCTCTTGGAAGAAGAATTTTTTTCTTAAACCTCCCATTATTTTTACAGTTACTTATAAAAACATAGTACTAGGTGATAGTGAAGAAATACAAGCAAAGAAAAAATAATATTTTCTTCACAAAGTGTTTAGTTTGGGTAATAGGAGAAAAAGTATAGTGACTAATGTAAGCATAGTGACTAAAAGTAAGTATAGTGACATCCATTGTTAGGGGTCATTATTTAAAAGATGAAAAAATAAATTTTGGTGCTTTAGAACATTATGACTTTTCTTGGTGTTTAAAAATCCAGTTTTACTTGATAGGAAAAGTGCTGTCTTTACTAATGATTGTAGGAAAACGAACTCTTTTTTTTTTAACGAACTCATTTTTGGTATTTATAAATATTTCAGGGGTTAAAAGAATTTTCTAATTTTTGTATTTGATCACTGAAAGTCAGTGAGAAGCTATGATTGGATCTGTGATTATAAAGAGTACACAAAATCAAATTAAAATTTATAATATAGGAATTTTATAGAGGTAATTTTGCTTAGTAATATTTGTGGGGCTGTTTGTTTTTTTGTTGAGTTTTACAAGTTGTTTATATAGTCTGGATGAATCTTTGGTTGGAAATATGATTTGCTAACTGTTACTTCTAGTCTGTTCCTTATCTTTTTGTCTTCTTAATAGTGTCAGTGCCTAGTGTCATTCTCAGAGTCATCTTTTTTTTTTTTTTTTTTTTTTTTTAAAGAATTAGGCTTTGCTGTTGTATTTAAGAATCTTTTGCCTAATCTTGCAAAAGGACTATATTTTATTCTAGAGGGCTCATAGTTTTGTTTTATATTTGGGTTTATGATCAACTTTTGAGTTAAGTATTTTGTATAAGGTGGAAAGAATAGGTCAAAAGCCAGGCACTAGTGGCCCACACCTGTAATCCTAGCTACTCAGAAAGCTAAGACCTGATGATCACAGTTTGAAGCCAGCTGGGGAAGGAAAGCCTGTAAGACCTCTATATTGGCTTAAATAGTAGAGCTTTGGACTTGAGCAGAAAAGCTCACAGACAGTGCCCAGGCTCTGAGTTCAAACCCCAGGACCAGTATATACTTACACACACACATACACCCCCACACCTCCCCACACAAAGGGTTGATTTTTTTTTTTTTTGTAATGTGGAAATTCAGTTTTTTTCTGGTCCCAGTTAAAAACAGTAACATTTGCTTTTGTTAAAAATTATTTTGGTGTTTTTGTCAAAAATCACTTATCCATAGATGCAAGAGTTCATTGATTTTGCAGCTCTTTATTCTAATCATTGACCTACTGGCCTGTGCAATGTATCAATACTACACTGATTTAATTACTGTATATTTTAACAAGTTTTGAGAGCAGGTGGTAAAAGTTCTGCAGTGTTGCACTTTTTCAAAATTTATATGGGACTTCTTTGCCTTTCCAT